AAACCACATAAGCTTCAACAATACTGAAAAGATAGAAAAACCTAGAGGAGGGTGAGGATCCCTCTCTACCCTTCATACATTTGACACCAATATTAGAGTAATCCCCTATCTTAATTTTCCAACAACAAATCCAAGATCTTAGCTATGGTTTCTCCCTCATAGAGTTCTTTTTAGGTCTTGCTTCTTTTCCCACTTTTCTCCACTTTCACGTATCAGATAAAATCATCTAGTCCCTTCACCTTATCTATTTAAATGATCCAATCACATTTTTACTCATTCCCCCCCCCCCCCCCCCCCCCCCCCCCCCCCCCCCTCTCTCAACTCTTGAGTTCTTACTCCTTACCCCACCAATTTTACTAAAATTCTAATTCCACCTCATATCTCACAATTTCATTTAATTCTATTATTTTAATTAAATAAGTTCTAAGAAACTCCAATAAAATCCAATAAACACTAAATAATTTATATAAATCACATAAAACATTTTAGCACTTAATTAAATAAATAAAAGCAATTAAAAAATTAAATAATTAATTAAAAACTCAGGGTGTTAGACTCTTACTTTTAAAAAAAAAATTAAAACTTATAATTTTAAGTACAGTGAATTTTTTTAAACTTATGTGATGTATATAAATAAGAGATACAATCATGTAAAAAAAAAGATAAAATATATTATATGATTATTATATCATATCATATTATATCCCATCTTAATCTATTATTTACTGGCACGTCAAGATATGAGAAATTAATAAGATTTAGTAAAAAAATTAATTATTGATTATAAAAAATTTAAATATAGAAATAAAATAAAAAATAATTTACATTGAATTATTTTATAGAAATTAAAATAATTTTTAAAATATTATTAAAATTTTTAAAATATTAATATTAATTTTTTTATAAAAATATTCCAGTTCACGTTCTCTCAAACACAAGACTTATAAAGTTGAAGTGATTAAACTAGAATATTTATTCCACAATTTCTAAAACACAAGACATGTGGAGAAGAATTGGTTAATTTAAAATATACCAGTAAAAAAAAATTATGATGTATTTATTATATATAAATATATTAATTTTTTAAAAAGGAAAAATAGCTATATTATATAAAAAAATAAGGAAGGCAATGGTACTTTCAGCCAAAAATATACAGGTAACGACGCCGAGATGACACAAGGAGTGACGTCCCAAGAAAAGAAACACATCGAAAACACGAGAAAAAAAGAAAGACAAGAGAAAGACCTAATCACCAAGCATGGATAACAATCATAGTGAAAAAACACCAAAAACAAAATCCAGGCAAAATTAGACCTCTCCAAAAGGACACGTGGAAGAGAACAAAAAATCCACAAAAAACAAATACATCTAAAGGGAGGCCGAAGCCACTCACTCCGCTAATGGCTCGGTAAGAGGATAGGGTTCTCAAGTCATTCTGAGAAGGTACATGAGTTCCCCCATAGACCTACCAAAACACTACTTCCAAGCCAAATTGGTGCTCATGTCTTCCACGTATTTTATTGTCACTGAAGAACCCAAAAAAATAATATCATTCCTAGTTTTCTAAATCGATCAGACCACAACATGCCAGATCATTAAAAAAACCCTAGTCTTATACCCTACACTCATGGAAATAAACATCTCAAAAAGAGTCACGACATTCCTAGACAAAACAGTGGACCAACCCAACCACCAAAAAATCATATACCACACTTAGGAGGAAACCTCATAGGTCACAAAGAGATGTGAGGATCACTCAACAGTCAGAGAACAAAAAGAGTAGGAAATAGTCCCTGAGGCCAAGAGGATACCCCTCTTCAGTAAGTTGTCTCTGTTAGGGATACGATCCCGAAGAAGCTTCCAGAAGAAAACTATATTTTTAGAGAGTGCCTAATTACTCCAGATAGAAGGGAGTACTAAGTCAATGGAATATACCTGTAGATTCAGAGAAAGTTGACGAAAGAGGAGACGATAGTAAACAGTAGACACGAAACAAACGCCATCACTCGAATCACGCCACCTCCACATACTCTGGTGACGGTGATAAATGTCTCTCCCGCCCAAGATAGAAGATATTACTTTATAGTTTTATTATTTATAATTTAACCCGATAAAAAAACGTGCTCTTAGATTAATATTCATAAAAAAAACTGAGAAAAAATAGTAATGGTACCATGAACCAAATTAACACATAAATATTTAGTTTTTCTTTCTATTTTAGTTTACATTAAAAAAATCAGTTACAATTTAATTACTATAATTTATTTTACTAACCACTTGTTGCATATGATTGTTGGAATGGTTGGAATGTCATTAATTAATGAAGTATTTATATCTTTTTTATCTATAAAAAGTTAATTCAATAAATTTATTTTACAAGTTACTAGAAAAATTAAATTTTATTATTTATTTAAATACTAAAAGAAGAAAAAAAATAGATTAAAAACTAAAACAAAAAATAGGCTAACTTACAAGACAAACATATTATTTAAACCTTATATATAATATATATTAATGTATCTGTATATGAAATATTTAACATAACATATATAATATAAATGATTTTTAAATAAAATTAATTATTTAATAATTTATATGAATTTTTATAAAAGTTAAACTTGTTCATTACTTTTTAGATTTATTTTAGTAAATTTTGATTTATTTAATAACTATGTAACAAAAAAACCAATATCTACGGGAAACCAATTTTTTTAAATATTTAGAAAAAATAAAATTCAAAAACAAATCAAATTAAATCCATAAAAAAAACTTGTTGGGTAAGATTAGAGCCTCTATTTGCCCTATAAATACTACTTCTTTTTTTTTATTTTTTTCATTCATCTCACTCTTTTTTCTAGCTTTAAAAGGTTATAGGGTTAGGGTTTTAACATTCCGAAAAAGCAAAGAAATCAAAATTCAAGAATGGCATCAACATCAACAAAGAAGGTGAATCTCAAGAGTAATGACGGTGAGATTTTTGAAATCGACGAAGCAGTGGCTGTGGAGTCACAAACGATCAAGCATTTGATTGAAGATGATTGCGCTGATGAAACCGGAATCCCTCTCCCAAATGTAACCAGCAGGATTCTGGCAAAGGTGATTGAGTATTGCAAGAAGCACGTGGAAGCACCGAAAATTGATGAATATGGAATGCCTGTTGACGGGAAGGATATGAAGAAGTGGGATGCTGAGTTTGTGAAGGTTGATCAGGATACACTTTTTGATCTTATTTTGGCTGCCAACTATTTGGACATCAAGAGTCTGTTGGATCTTACATGCAAGACTGTGGCGAGCATGATGGATGGTAGGACACCGGATGAGATTCGTAGGACTTTCAACATTAAGAATGACTACACTAAGGAGGAAGAACAGGAAGTTCGTCGCGAAAATCAGTGGGCTTTTGAATGAAAACTGATTTTATGATTTGGTTAGACATAGAGTTATGAGTTTAGGGAGTCAAGTTATGTTATGTTTTTTTCAGGAACAGTTATTTGGATTAATGTTATGTTTGGTTTTATTAATCAAAGAGCTAAAATGCAATATGTGGGTTTATATATGATTAGTACTTGTTTATCTGGTTCTTTTCTGCATTGGTTCTCTTTGGAATTAATATTGAAACGGTTTGTGTATCTTTTCATATGCTTCTATTATTCTGATTTTATTCACAACTTGTGTTGTTTGTGTATATTTTCAGTTACTTCATTGGTTTTCGTTTAGAATTGTAGCATCAATGTTGTTGACGTGCCTTGAAAGTTCAGGGCGTACTTAACTGTCTGTGGCTGTCCATGTCCAACGACAGTTCCAAGATATGATTTTCATTGGAATCGGCTTGTCCGCCTAGCAGAGCCTGCTTTTTTTTTTTTAATATCAGAATTGTTGGATTTGTTGTTTAGGGTAGCTGGTAGGCTAACAGGTGTAGGTTGTTGTTCCTGAGTTGCAGCTTCAGTTATTGGGGCTTTCCCTACTTCATTCATAAACATTTTGAATAACTAATAGATTAAACTAGGAGAGGATTGATGAGTGGAAGTGGAACTTGTCCTAGCATCTTTTGCCAAATATTTTAACCTAAGCAAGGGGTAGAAACACAATTTGGACCTAAGCCAACCAGTTTCCTTGTTCTGATTGAATATGTTGTTGTGAGGTATCATTGTTGTTCTTATGAGGTATCAATATTGTTTTACAATGTAGTAAAGATCTAGTGTTGTGTCTTAGGATCTTAGCATCCTATGTGCCATGATTGCCCCAACGTGCTACGATCAGGACAGGATCTTTTTCTGGTGCCATTGTGGTCAAGATCGAGATCATCATGCAAGATCGTAAAGGGAAATCGTGTTGGGCTTCTGATTTTGTTGGGCACTTCTTTAATCGGGTTGTGTTTTGATTAAAAAGTTTACTTCAAATTAAAACCTTAGTATCCTTCCCTTCCTAAACCTTAAAACGAGACAGCTTCCCTTCCCCCTTTGTTTTCTGCAACCGCAATGCCTCCTCTCCACACTGTGGTTGCGACAACATCCTCCGCTCCTCCCTGAGACACTGTCCTTCATCTCCTCTGTTTTTGTTCTATTTCACACCTTCTCATTGCAGCTCTATTTCATCTTTTATTTCTTTTACAACTATGTAATGGCTTCAAATGGTGGGTGGGTTACACCTTAGATGGTTGTGTCTTTTGAGCTTCTTATTTTGAACTTGAGTCTTTTGAGGATGAGGATTATACCTTTTGAGTACTTGTTAGCTTAGTTTTTTGTGTTACTTTATGAATTAGTACTCGGCAGTTATTAATTTATGGGATGATGGTTATGAATCATTAACTAAATTGGTTGGGGTTATGATTTATAGGTTATTTCTATCCATGTATAATCATTTTAATGCCTTTGTGTGTAAATGAAATTACAGTTTTGCCCTACGGTAGGATCTTGTGTGCGGCGTTATATGATCCTCGTGTTATAATCGTTCACAGGCCTACTGATCCTACTTAAGTTCCCGAGTTCATGTTGTAATGAAATAATAACTCCAGTTAACTTAAAGCCATTTGTTCCTATTTGTTGTGAATTTGGTTCAAGGAAATGTTTCGCAATTTGGGTGACCTGTTGCAAGACCAAAGATACAAATCTTGTAGTAGGAATAGTTCTAACATTACTTAACCCTATGCTTGTAGTTTGATCTTCATTTGGTGATTGAAGATATGAACTCTTTCTGACGTTGTTCTGTGTTTTTGGTATTTCGATTTCCATTTGGTGATTTGAGAAAAGGAACATTTTTTATTTTTCTCTATAATTTTCTTACTTATGTTCTTGGAAGATTTCACCGGAGTCGTAGGAGTTAAAAGTTCTGGAGCTTGTGAAACCAACCATTTGGTGATTTTATAAAGCTATATTGAGTCATCTGCAATAAGATTTTCACCCAAGGAAGCCCAATAGTATTTAGCGTGAAGAATCGTGTTAGACCAAATCACAATTAAGCACAATTCTAAGAGATGAGAGACGGTAGTGTTAGACCAAATCACAATTAAGCACAATTCTAAGAGATGAGAGACGGTAATACGTGCTAATTCACACAACTAAGCAATTAACCTTATTATAAAGTATTTAGGCGTAAAGATAACCCGGTTGAGGACATGAATTCATTTATTTCTTTACAAGAAATATCGAACAGAAAGTATCGAATTTTAAGAAAGATCATGGGATGTCTATTGAGCTTGATAACTTAGATACGGTATACATAAGGAACTAAACACATTTAGCAAAAACCTGTGGAAAGGCGAACACTATTATATCACTTATGAACTTAAAGTGGGATCCGTGGGATCCTCCCCTATGGTGGGCTTAGTGGATGTTTCAGAAGCATCAGTAGATTGTATTGAAGTAACCGAATCGGTTGAAGAATATGAAGAAGCTGAATCCACGACGACTTCTGTATAAGCTACAGTCTCGGAAACCAGACCCTGTGGTTGTGTCTCGGTAGCTTCACGCGCTGCTTTTTCCTTTGCTTTTTTTGCTCTATCCAACACTTCTTCCTGTATAACAATTATAGTTTAAAACAAGTCAAAGATGTGAATCTAAATCATAATCCCATAAGTGGGTGGATGTTTACAGTGCGATGCATGCATTTTAAATTGTTCACCAGAGCAATAGTAGATTGATTTATGAAGCTCTGACACAACATAGACACAAAAAATATATTGACACCGATGCATAGACATCAATACATCAATAGTAATTTGAGGAAATACATGTGATTGGATATAAACACGTGTCATTGTTGTGTCAGGTCCAGACACTTCTTCAATCTGAAACAAGTTAGCGCTATAGCCCTGCAACAAGTTAGCACTATAGCCCTGCTATAACCACAATTTACAGGGCAATCTTTGAGAACGTGCAAGACGAACTATCGGAAGGATCCAAAATTTGAGACGGTTAAACTGAAAGTAAATAGAACTTCATAAAATATCACACTTTAACCGTGGAAAAATATAGCCCCTGCTTGTTTTGCCACAATTAAACTAAGACTAATCTACACATGGCCTTCTAAAACTTAAAGACAGCCCCGACTATTTGACAACTCCATCCACAATGCAGCATAGAAATGCATTTTGGAAAACAAAATCTATAAACAAAGCATAGTTTTCCATTGTTCAGAATCAATAGGCAACAATATTGTTTGTATTCTTGAATCAAGCACATATGATACAACAGATTGTAGAAAGCTGATTTATAGTTTATGCCATAAATGGAATACAATACAAAGCCAGTTAAAACCGTTCCTTACCTGAAATTCCTGAACTTGTCTTTGTTGTTCAGCTTGCAGTCTTCCAACATTACTCAAAAACTCACCAACCGTCGACTCAATTCTCTCATTCAGAGTTTCAGCCAGAGCCTTTCCCAAGAAAAATGCATCCAGAACATTTTTGCTGCTGCTATCACCATCACCTACACAGTTCACCCATTTTAAAAAACTACATAACAATTTTCGTCCGAATAAAAAAACAAAATTGTTTACCGGAGGGAGGTCCACCAGGGAAGAAGCTACTGTTACAGCGGAATCCAGTGGTATGAAAACCCCTTTTGGTGGGAAGTTGAATGGTTGTGGGTTTGGAAGAAGAAGGAACGAGGTTGTTGTTGGAGAAGAAGAGAGAAAGTGATGTACATGATTTGGACAACCTAGGAGAAGCAAAGGTTGTTGGAGATGGAGAAGGGGAAAGGGTACTGGTATTCATTTTCTCTTTCAGAACACAACAGACACACACTATTGTTGTGTCTGTGTTTTGTTGTTAATCGCACACGAGATGTGCAAGGTTGAAAATAAAATAGAAAAAAAAATCTGCATTTTTATTTCAGTTTGTTTAATAAATAAAAAAGGGGAATTATATATTTTTATATTACTGTTATTATTATTATTATTATTATTATGGATTGATATTTTCACTTTTATCATAAACATAAAATAAATTGCCATAAACATAAAATAAACTTGACAAATAAATAATAATAAAAAAAATACTAAATTAAGAGTTAAATTAGTATTATCTATTAAAAAGCACAACTGAAACAGTTTAAATATGTAATTAATTTAAAAAAATAATTTTTTATTTATTTTTAGTCATCTAAATTTTTATTTGGTTTTGAAATTTATAAATATTTTAATTTTGTTTGTTATCCTTTTTATTTTATTTTAATTATTATAAGATTGATTTATATTATACTACTAATTGATTTCTAATAGGTAGAATACTTAATTTTAGTCATTACACTTTTAAAATTTAAGGAATTAAAATTCAATGTTCTATGTATTATAAAAATTAATTTTAATATAAATTAACTTTGTAAAGACAAAAATAAAATAACAGATAAATTTGAAAACAAAAAGTATTTGTAAGGAGTAAAACTAAATAAAAAACTATTATAGGACTACAACAAAGTTAAATTCTTCTTAATAATTCTCTTATAATTTTATCTCTACGCACAAATGATATTTTTGGCTTTATCCTTCATCTTCTATTCTCAACTTGTTTTAGATGGACAAACAACAATGCATTAAATATTCTAAGATTTTTTTTATTACTCCTCAATTTTAAAATAATCTACTATTTAAGAAATAATTATAGTGTGGAAAGCTCAATTTTATTCTTTTATTAAAAAAATTATTCTTTTATTTTGTGAGAGTTATTTATGTCTTCGTACTATTGGTGCAATTTATTAAATGCTTTCTATAAAAATAAAAATAAATGTGATAGGTTGAATTTTGCCTTTTTCACACGCTCTCACTATGACTTTTATTACAATTGATATTGTACACGATATACTCTTTTTGTGATGTCCACTTATTTGTTTAAAAAATTCATTAATTATTTTGTATGCTTGAGTGCTTTCATTGAGCTAAAAATAATCATATACGGTGAACTACTCAAAATTTTGTTTAAATCAATAATAAACCTTTCAAATTCGACTGTGGAGATAAATGGCCTGTTATTATCAATATTGAGATAAATGGTCTGTTATTACCAATGCTGTCAAATATCTTCTTCCGCTCTATAAAATATACTACCAAATCTCTTCTTCCATCATATAAATATGCATAGCAGTTACCGTGAAGAGAATACTGTGTTTTCATGTAAGTGTTGTGTTTCTCTTGATCTGTTCCACTTTGTTTTTTTTTAATTTCTTCCCACATTTTGATTTGTTGTGTTTTTTTGTTGTGTACTGATGTAGATTTCTTCTTCAATTCCAATGGCCAGTACCTTTGAGTGTGTGAGGAAAGAAATCTGATAATACTTGTCAAGATTCAAATTTGTGCATTCAATTTTTAGGACCATTCATCACACCAATGAGCCAATTTATATTGCTTACAATTAAGGGTGGGAATAAGATAGACCGAATTAGGATTTGTTAATTCTGAGTCTGACTTGCTAAAAAATTTAAAGCATAAGTTCGATTTGTCATAGGCTTAATTTATAACCTGAATTTAGTCTTTTCAAAGGCATTAGTCTATTAGTCTGCTTAAAATACTTATATTATTTGAATATGTGTAAATAAGCAATTCAACTAATGTTTAAATATATTAGAGAATTAAAAGTACAACGAGAATAAATGTTTGTTTACATTGACTTATTTGAGCTTATATAATATCATAAGTTTATTCATAAGATTTTTTTAACTTATTATTAAAATAGGCCGGTCTGAAAGGTTTATAAGACTTTTTTCATGGCATATGGCCTAGCCTATTTAACTAAATAGTATTTTTTCGCATTGTTTCACATGTTGAAAACTACAAAATAAATAACACACACACACGCACACACGCACACACACGCACACGCGCACACGCACACGCACACACACACACAGACGCACACACACAGACGCACGCACACACACACACAACAGTCAATAATATAATAGGTGCCCGTAGTCGATAAAGACGGCAACCCAAAATATTTTCAACAATCCAAAAATTGATAAACAATAAACAATCCAAACCAAAATACATATACAACAACGAAGACTGTTAGATATGGCAGACTATGAGTCGACCTATCACCCTTCTGATGTTCCTCCTCTGCCTCCTATAAAGCAGAGCCTCCTCCATGATGGCATCTAGAACACCTCTAACATCAGAGTAATCAAGAAACAGACCTCGATCAATACCCGTTTATGCAATCTCAATGATACGACAACACCTAGGCAACACATCAGTGGCATGATCGGCATATGACTGCATCTCCTCTAGAATCTCCTGATGAGCTGACATCAATTGGTTTTCTGGAGAATCTTGTACTAGATATAGATGAGACACCCTGAAGAACCCATATGATATAATTGTTTGCGTAGCTCCAGTCGTATGGTGCTAAGATACTTCGGGCATCATCTGGCTTAAGATGATTAACATAATCATCAAATAAAACATCCATATCCCTCCGCTTCATCAGGGGAGAAGCAGACACAATAGGATCTCGAGGAATATATTGCATGCACCCAAACTGACGCATGACGCGCTCACGCGGATGAGCAACCGTCTTGCGCGACCCGCAATCCAACCATTCAGAAAACAATGTAACATTGTCAATTGGAATTGTGACACGATGATTGACGTAGGTATGAAAATGTATATCATCAAACACTAACCGATTAATATACATCTAGAATGGCTCTGTCGTCTGGTTCCTTCAGAGCGGGTCGAATGCAGCGGCACACGACCTTTCTTTAGTATAATCCTCGGCAAGTGACCAACCTTAAACACGGGGGAAGTGTTGTAGGATACAAGCCTGAAATAACAAGAATTATTAGTTAGTAACAACATCACAACAATTAACAAAATGACGCATAAATAATATAACACCAATATATTATACTGTCAGGAATGTGATGTTCCAGGTCATCTGTTTCGTCTTTCACTTATAGGGTTCAGACATCTTGTGGTACAAGTACACCAAACAAGCAGTCCCGCAGTTCCACTCATGGATCTGCTCAAAACCGTCAAAGTACCTCAGGTACATGACATCAGTGAAAATGGAAATAGTGTCCAAAAAAATGGGCGTGCCAACAAGATACAAAAGGTATGCTCTCATAGCTCACCTCTGGTGATGAGAAACCTGCTCGGGATCACCATTATCCCGTCGTGCACATTGTAGCTCAAACGTGAATGTGACGCCCCGAATTTAATTATTGGAAATTGTCGAAGTTGAGAATTATCAGTATTATTCTAAGAAGCATAATTGGATAAATATGTTGAGTTGAGCGGTAAGTTGATAGTTGGATAAATTAGACGGTTTAGTCAGAGAACTATTATTAGAATATTATTTGCGAGTTAGTATTATTTAAAGTGTGGATCGATCATAGTTGAAGAATATTATTGGAAATAATATTAGATTATATTATGTGACTATTTACTTAATTGGGCTTATGTTGTGATAGTAGTAATAGTGGGGTGTGTATGTAGGCCCACTAAGAGAAACACTATTATTTGGAATAGAAATAGAGGAGAAAGAGAGGATAGTGTATCAGGAAAAGAAAAATAAGAGAAAGAGGAAAATAGGGTTTTTGGAGAAGAAGAGAGCTACGTGAATTTGAACCAAGAGGCCAAGAGGAGATTCAAATCGGAGACACATAGAGTTGTCATCAAACCAAACCAGATAAGGGTGGAGTTTCTTATCCTATAATGGGGTATATGATATTTTGTATGTGAGATTATTATTGTTGATATGTGTTGGTTTGTGTTGTCTTGATAACATTATTAACAATTGATTTGATTAATGAATTGTCAATGAATTGGTGTATTTACTGTGTTATATACTTGTCTGAATTGGATTTGGAATAATAGATAGCAGGAAATCCACTAAAATAGAGAAGGAAAATTGTGCCTGGAATGCTGCCGAACGGCAACTTGTTGTTGGTTGGATGCTGCCGAACGACAACTTGTTGTTGTCACGGGAAGTGCCAATTGACACTATGAGAGGAAGTGAGAGGGTGTGCCTTGCGGCACACCTTTGGGCAGGGGAACTTGTTTCTGTTTCTGTGGCACTATGCTATATAATTTTTATATGGTATCAGTATAGAGTATTAATAGAAAATCAGTTAGGGAACAAATTAAACTATTCTTATCAGTAGCATGTTATAGCAGAAAGAACATTAATGGAAGTAGCATATTTTTGTAGAGTTGTTTTATGTGATAGAGGACAATAGCAGAAATAATAATAAGTAGTAAATTTAGATGAACAGTACAATAAAGTAGCAGAGTTAATAATTAGCAGAATTATGTTAGTAGTAGACGTAGAAATTAAAATAGCAGTGATGGTTTTAGTTGCAGAGTTAGTAATAAATTGATTAGTAGCAGTATAAATAAATAGTAATAATAACAATATATGAGACAGTACCGATTAACCGAATTTGTAGATTTAGGCGGTAAAAATAGTTAACTGGAATTAGTTGAAATTATCAGGGTAAGTCGTATATACATATAGGTATTTTTAGTTGGTTTGTTTTGTTATAATTATGTAGAATAAAGTTGATTTACAGGTGAAGTCGAATTTAGTTGAATGATTTCAGTTTATGGAATTGTGTTATCGGTTATTGTTGTGAATAAGTCGTTGTCGAATACATTGTTGTTATTGAATATGTTGTTGTTTATATGTTGTGATTGATAAGTTGATTAAGTTGTAGACCTATGGCCAATGTTGAAGCGACGATGAGTACCTCTAATTATTGGTAAAGTGACGATATA